CCCATGTCTGCTCTGGGATAGTTTTCTACAGTGTCATCTGGGTAAGAATTGTGTTCACTTCCAAAGACAAGGGAGCGGTGCCGTCGTATTCAGTGAAACATAGCGTTGGATCGCTGTAACGTTCTCATTGATGTCGCGACAAAAATACTTATTGTCTCACGTATGACGAGGTACTACCCCCCTAAATAGATCCATTGATACAGGCCTTTAGATCTTCTAGGCATCACAGTTACATTGCTGCATTGTAACACAGCTACACATTCATTTTAAGAAATACTGACACATAACGATGAGAGCTCGGAATAAAACCACAGATAACCACAAGAGTTCTGCCAAGAGCGGCAAAAACATAATCACCAGCGAAATCAGTACACTTTTCCTAATCAACGCATGGGTGTTTTACAGTCATGACTCCTCGAATCCAAATTGGTGCTAATTTGTAAAAATCTTGTTGTATCACGGTTTTAAATCACAAATGATATGAGTCCTACTTTCATGCAAAATGTGATTATGATACGTCTTAAACATCGTATAAATGTACATTGTGTTGAATGTTTTACTTATATGTGTTTGATTCATCCTTTACATGATTTAGGAAATAAATTACCATTGATATATATATAGATACACCAGATAACTAATATTGGCCCCCACCTGATCTGGTAATCACATATAATTATGTGCAGTAGTTTAAAAATTCACATAAAAAATCGTCGTGCTAGTGTGAGCTGAAAGTGCCAGAAAAATATTAAACTTTTCAAATTTTACATAAAACTGGGACACCCCACAGTGGTGTGAACTCCTGCTGACGTCAGAGTTTTAAATACATTAACGTTAATACGTGCTGTATATTTAGAAGCTTTAGACATTTTTAGATCTACCTTTGTCTACCTTGGCAAAAACCGCGGTTTGCAGTGGCGGCGTCACTGGAGGAAGATTCCTCATTAACTGCTGCATCCACTGTAGTAGCGGAAGCTTCTGTGAGATGGCCAGTACCTAATAATCAGTTCCTACATAGTTTACTGTACAATTTTCATAATTTCACAAACCGTTTGTATTTTTTCAAATGATTCATTTTTATTTTCTTCGTTCTGCATTAAAATCATTGAAATAAGGGTTCCAATAATTTCACATGTCTAACCTCAAAAGGTCAACTAAGATACCATATCACAGCCAAAGAGACAATTTTCTTGTCTTGCTTTCTCCTTACAGACCTTCTCAATCTCAACTGTATCATGCCTATCGTCAGTTACAACTTGCACAATATGAAAACTTGACCCAGATTGGCTGGGCGTCTACAAAGTACATATGAGGCGTTGTCTTAAAATTACCTCGAGTAAAAGGGTTAGAAAGACCGTGTCAATATATCGAATATTGATTTCAAAAAGGAAACTAAACCTGTATTCTTCCATCTTCCACATGTCACCCCTGTATACTTGCCACTTTCTCACACCTTGCCAATGCTCCCAACAGCCCTACCACCCCATACGTCTCACTTGCTTAGCATCCTTTACACTGCAGGTAAGGCGTACGAAATGTACAGACAATCCCAATTGTATGATTCATGTAAGAGGTAATTCATTTTGGGATCTGATATTTTGTTTCTGAACTGTCTCTCTTGACACTGGCTCATACTTCGCCTTTATCTGAATGCTCGTTCCTTTAAGAGAGCTTTGGGGACTGTCAACTAGTCTAGACATACCAGAGCTTTTACAATGGTGGTTACTAATCCGTGTTTAACGTCCAGTATTTTGGTAACAAACACTCATCACGTGCATTCACCTAGCATACCTTAAATGTCACGATATGTAAAAAGACGTTAAACAGTATATATACAACCTTTATCATCTATCAACTTGCTCTCTGTCGCAAAAATTGTCAGTGATTTATGGTATTTTGCGGAATATAATCCAGAACACTCGTAAATACAACGCCCCTTAATCACGAATCTAGGACATGTGGATAACGATTAGAACTCTGGTTTATAAAAATGTAATAGATGCAAGTGTGACAAACAAAATTTGGCCACCAATAGCCGTATCAAAAGTGACAGCGATGACATCAACAGGATGGCCATTAGCCGAATCGACGGCTGCAGCTGGTTTTCTGCGTTGAAGAACCACTCGGCATTGGGATAACTAAACTGTCACTTGGAATACGACGTTAGCTCCAGTTTGGGGAAAACGTGTACCCTGTAATACATGGTCATCACTCAATTGTGAAATATGTACAAAATGTCTTCCAAAGACAACTATAACGACACATCAGAGGATCCAATCATGATAATTTATAAGTATTTAAATTTTACATTGACTCGGCGTTAAGATGCGTTCTAATTCAAAAGAGGATATTATGACGTGTTATTGGCGTCGTGATAACGTTCCTGAACTGAAATGAATCCTAGCTTTACATCGCACATCCGAAAGATGACATACGTTAATATATATTGTGAAATGTAAACCTTCAACGTTCCCGTCGCAACCACATTTTATTGTAGAATTACGAAGAAAGTGATATAAATGAAGAAGGAAGTGATATATAGCCATTTAGTTCATGTATGAGTAGATTAATGGTGTGTCTGTTGGAAAATCAATAGAAATATATCAAAAATGATTACAAGGTATTCCATAACGTTACAATTACATTAAAAGTGTCACGCGGTAGATTGTCTGGCCTTTCCAGGGATTCGACAAGGTAAAATCCACATGTCGAATTGGATGGATGAGATATTGCTTATATTGTGATAGTATATGACGAGTTAAGCGTCGATTTGATGAGGATTGCTAACAGCAAACCATCATTGTGTGTATGATACTTTTCACAGACATTGTCTGGAAGCGAGCTGTCGCTTGAAAGCAATACGGTCCAGCTATATGTACGCAACAGCGTCAACCTCACTTGACTTTTCCTTCGCGTTAGAACGACAAATAAAAAAGATATCTTAGGGATGATAAATAAGACGAGAAACCCTTGGTTTTCAACGATATCTACGAAATATGTCGTCGTCAGTCAGTTCTATCAAGGGGATATATGATGGCACATAAATATGATACGAGATTGATCAAACTCATTCTTCCCGGTATATAGCGAGTCTGGAAACTAATGGGCAGCAGTAATTGTATATATTAAGAAAAGAATCAGGACTTTCATAACTCCATATAACTTAGACAATGACTAAAATCTCCAGTTAAAGATCGACAAGAATAATGTGATCAGACAATCCCTAGCTGTGATTCTTCGACTCAGGTGGAAATTTATTTTGCCGTTTATCGAAACATTTACAATATCTTTATTTTATTTCTTATCTTATTAAATTGCAAGATCATTTTAACATTGATATAAAAAATACTCTATGTCAATATGTAAATATTAGTCCCCATTATTTTGTATGTGTCATTATGATGTCAGGTCCTGAAGTTTGTTGTCGATATAGAAAATGTAGAAAACGGAAGTATCAGTAACTGGTTTGTATGAACTACATTTATCAGCATAGAATAGCTTAAAGTGTTTGACCATTACAAACCACCTATCATGTATACAGAGTGCACTAGCTATAGTCACGTATCATTTTCGCACCTTTACGACTGTTTCAGGATACAGATGATAGAGACATCTTACAAGGAAGTAGCCAAACTAGGAAACAACGCAGGCATTGTTAAGGATCCATAGGATGCAAAATATGAATATTTTGAAATACCTTTAATAGGAGAATAGAAAGCATCAAGTAATTCATACACATCCGTCTCAGTATACAAGTATGAACAACATATCGATTCTGAAGGAAATAACAATAACACAGAAGTAGTCTGATAACAACAAAACGACACTTTTTAATTTCTATCGACAATTTCTGCGATTCCACATCAATCAACTAGGATCTAAACACAATAAAACCATATTTACAACACACCACAAAAAATATTCTAAACACAGTAGCAGTCTCAAAAGATATTCGTTCTGTTCATTTCTTAGCAGGAAATTGTACAGCCAATATTTATTCTGTGACCTACTAAGACATTTCCTTAAATTTTACTGGTCCCTGGGTTTATGAACTTTCAAAGTATGAGTGATATTTTCATACATAGCTATAGGTTACACATTAAAAATGCTATGTAAAAAACATACGTAATAGATATATAAAATATAAATTGTAATTACATGTTTTAATCTGTCATTGCCCATGGAATCTTTGTACAGAATATTTTGTTGAATTCACTGCAGCAGTTCTTAAAACAATGAAATCAGAAAGGTGAAAACGGACAATAGACAACGGGCGACGACGAAGACGGATCAGAAATGAATTGTTCAGGTGACCTAAATAGTAATTATAAAGGGAGACCTGTTGAAAATGGCAAAATGAAGTGGACTTAAAGGGGTTTGCTTTTGTAGGCGGACTTGAGAAGGCAACTGAAACCCATATAAATAGTGCATCTGCCGTAAATACCTCAGTGATTTACTAGAACAAAATAGATAGCCAGATGGATGTCGTTGTTTATGCTAGATTTTTACCCCCTGTCGCGATGGTCAATCTATCTGACGAGGCATGAGCCATATAGTTGGCGAGGTTTGGTTCTGATTACACTCCATCAGCCTCGGAACCGTACTCTCGATCTGCAGTGCAGACTTATCATTTCAAGTGAAATGTTAAATAAATTAAGATCGTGTTTGACGGAGATGTCTTCATGTGAACAAGAGAAAAGAGTCTGTCGTTATTCCAGATTTCTCTGAAAATATATGCGTTTTTTATATTAATTTGAATAATGTATAGTCAATATATTTATAAAATAATTTTCTATTTTTGTATGTCACTCCTCTATAATGACTGCCCAATTTCCGATACATATCCCGAGATTTTAAAGAAGCTGGTTTGAAGTACTTTCTTCTGACTTGTCACAGAGGCCATTTGGTTTGTTCTAACAATACAATTTGCCTTCAAAAATATTTTCTTTTTAAAAATTGGTTTAGGCTAGAGCATATTATGACCTCTTTGTCGTACTCACCAGAGTGACGCAGTCCTGATGACCGACCAGATAGAGATTGTGGGTGTCTTGATCACATTCACACATCACACGTTAACAGTTGGAACAATGGCAGGATAAACTACCTTCTTCAGCGCGATAAGTACAGACATAAACACACAACATCATGGAAAATCCAATTTCAAGAAAATTTCGTATCAGATACATTTAAAGCAACTAATGTTCCCGTAACAGCAGCCGTATCAGACAACAGCTGATACTGTTTTATATTAATCGTTTAGTAACAGTAGTATAACGTAGAAACTATATGATTCGATGATTCTGTGAGCAGTACCCTACTACTGGGTATGTTTGGGTGCATGCTGACACTGGACAGGGAGATGGGCCAAGTCAACCTCTTCCCCTCTCTCATTGTTTACATTAGGAACCTTTCAGGAGATAAGTATTTCGGCGTTGGTATGGTGTAGGGTCTTGTTACAGCGAGGTGCGAACACTAACTGACATAGCTATGCTAATTGGAGATTATTGTTGGTAATTTAGTATCGGCAACACTTTTCCCCCTCCACAGTCATAATGGTACCTATTTACAACTGGAGAAAGTATTGCAAACAACACTGGTTCGTTTTTGGGATAAGTATTACTTCACTCTTACAACTAATGACGTCAGTGTTTACTTCATTAGATATATCTGTTTGACGGCTGGAATTCTGTTTAAAAGAATTAACATTACAGACAGGAAGTGTTTTGCTTGTGACACTATTTTTTACGGTAAGTAACACCGCCGACATCACCAAGCAAGTGCACACATGATCATAGGACTTGACAAGGCGTTCGTATATACAGTGGAGGAGAACGAACCTACAATTAATGTGATTTCAGTAGATCATTGACTTCGTTTATCTAATAGTATAACGGTCCACATGTAGAATCCTAAAAAATCAACCATAACCATAGCCACTAACGTAAAACATTTATATGTAGTCTTTGAGATATCATTATCTCCGCTCTTGTACACAAATATTAGGTTATCTTTGGTCGATCTCAAGCGAATTAAATTAACTTACAGCATGTATCAAAATCATGACAAAAACCAGTTTTCTATTCATTGCCGAAGAAAAATTATTTATATGAAATTTATGTATGTAGGAGCATTTATCCAAAACAACAAAACTCTTTGCGGGAAATCAATTTATTTTCTAGACCGAGATGGAAGTGTGCGAATTCATCAGAAAGCAAATTTGTCACACGATACACTCACGTAGGATCGTCACACAACAGAACGACCCAAGAGGCGGGCTCAGCAGTCCACACATGTAAACGGCGAAACGACCCAAGAGGCGGACTCAGCAGTCCACACATGTAAACGGCGGAACGACCCAAGAGGCGGGATCAGCAGTCCACACATGTAAACGGCGGAACGACCCAAGAGGCGGGCTCAGCAGTCCACACATGTAAACAACGGAACGACCCAAGAGGCGGAGTCAGCAGTCCACACATGTAAACGATGGAACGACCCAAGAGGCGGATTCAGCAGTCCACACATGTAAACGGCGGAACGACCGAAGAGGCGGACTCAGCAGTCCACACATGTTAACGATGGAACGACCGAAGAGGCGGACTCAGCAGTCCACACATGTTAACGATGGAACGACCGAAGAGGCGGACTCAGCAGTCCACACATGTAAACGACGGAGTGGCATATATAAACGACATTATGACACAAGAGGCGGACTCATCAGTCCATACTTGTGAACGACGGAACGACTCAAAGGCGGACTAGGCAGTCTATACACGGAAATGACGGAATGTCCCCAGAGGCGGACCCAACGGTGTACACATGTAAGCGGCATTATAACACAAGAGGTGGTACCGGCAGTCTACACATGTAAACGTCATTATAACACAAGACGTGGTACCGGCAGTCTACATATGTAAACGTCATTATAACACAAGAGGTGTTACCGGCAGTCTACATATGTAAACGTCATTATAACACAAGACGTGGTACCGGCAGTCTACATATGTAAACGACGTTATAACACAAGACGTGGTACCGGCAGTCTACATATGTAAACGTCATTATAACACAAGACGTGGTACCGGCAGTCTACATATGTAAACGACATTATAACACAAGACGTGGTACCGGCAGTCTACATATGTAAACGTCATTATAACACAAGACGTGGTACCGGCAGTCTACATATGTAAACGACGTTATAACACAAGAGGTGGTACCGGCAGTCTACATATGTAAACGACATTATAACACAAGAGGTGGTACCGGCAGTCTACATATGTAAACGACATTATAACACAAGACGTGGTACCGGCAGTCTACATATGTAAACGTCATTATAACACAAGACGTGGTACCGGCAGTCTACATATGTAAACGACATTATAACACAAGACGTGGTACCGGCAGTCTACATATGTAAACGTCAGAATAATCGAACAGGCAAAGTCAGAAGTCTACACAAGTAAACGACGGAAAGTTCCAAGAGGCGGACTCAGCTGTCTACACGTGTGAACGACGGGATGACTTGTATAAACGACGGAATGATACATGTTAACGACGGAAAGTTCCAAGAGGCAGACTCAGCTGTCTACACGTGTAACGACTTTATGACACAATAGGCGGACTCGGCAGTCTACACTTGTAAATGACGAAATGGGCATAAAAGACGGACTCAAGTAGTCTACTCGTGTAAACGACGAAATGGGCCATGAGGAAAGATCCTAGAGGGAGACTCAACAGTCTACATGGGTAAATGATGAGTTCTAGGGTACAAAGTAATGCATGCTACAATACAATTGCTAAGGGGAATTTGCATGATGGCCGAAGACAGTGTCAAATACACATTCAAATAATGTTTATACATGAAAATCGACCATATCTGTGATTGCTTGTCCCCTTTCCTCACCTTTCAAATCTTGCGGGTATGAACAAACTCATTGCGAAATTTATCACTACTTTTCAAATGATATATTCCCTGACATTTCTGGTAATATGTAACTGCGCTTTAACATATTTGTTTTTAAGTTTGTGTATATTCTGAACCTTTTCATTGTTCGAATTTAGACTTAAGAGTGTTTATGATACAGGTTGGATATTTGATGCACCTAGAGACATGAGAATCCTCGGTCTACGACTTCTGTAACCTGTTCTGTTCACAATACTTTTATATCTATTTGTCGTTGTAACCATTGATATCTTCTTGACATGAAACTATTGACAGTGTCGTCAACTCGCATAGGGCGAGTCGATACATTGTTTTTATAAATACACGTCGAACATGTTACCAATAGCAACATCAAAAATATCAATTGATGCTTTACTTTAAGATACGACATACCGAAACTCTTGGCACTGTCTGCACTGTATGTGTTAAAAAAAGATGTGTTTGATGCAGTGTCGGATAGTACAGCCCATATAGTTTTCATTTTCATATCTTAAACAAAGCAAGTACCGAGATATCAAATGAATTTTGCTTCAAACACAGAATAGATGAAATGGGGGCTAAGTACGACCAAAGAAGACACTAGATGGCAAACAGTGTGTTCTGGCAGGATTAGCGTCTTTTTAGTGTCGGAACATCGCTTAAAATCATTTATCGGCGACATACCGTACATCTTGGTCAATCCCAAAAAATAATGTGACGTTCTCAAATGAGAACAAGGTTGCTATGCCTGGTGGTTGTGTTGTCAATGGTGATGGATAATATGACTGACAATGTTAACGATACTTGAGTGTAATTTGAATAGCAAAGTATCAAAACGGGCCTACGTAAAACATCGTTATTGCTATGCATCGCCGTGTAGAATATGTTTTAAAAATTTTGCCAGGCGGCAAAAATAAAGAAAAAAAATGCTGACAGAAAATCTTATCTCAAAATAGAATTTTCTGTATCTAAAGGGACAATAATATGACTTAATCATTAACCATGTACCGTCGCAAAACTTTCAATTAATTTGATAAAGTTTAAATCAACGGTGCTTTTTTATTTATATAATACTATTTGATAGCCTTATAGTATCATATCTTGTCACACTAATGCCGTTTTTCCTGTCGCTTTAACTCAGCAGAAATTCTTGCCGACAGACAACACCGCTGTGTTGTATTGCTGCCGACAAATGAAAACCGAGAGGTGCACAAAATTGAGTGGGATCTATGTCACTAGGTCTGCTAATGTCAATAACACACGCATGTCACTTTATTTTGTATAATCAGTATTGTTTACTATGTTTTACTCTTGTAAATGGCAAACATCGCTCTCTCAGTTTGTGATATACTACTTCTACGTATATAAACACTGTATATGAATGTACTGTTAGTATCATACATGTTCTGTAGAAAGACCCAGGGATCGGGTATTCGAGCCAGGTCCCAGTGATAATTGCTTCCCATGACTCACAGAATACGTATTTTTCAAGTATCATTAAGAATAATCCACTCGTTTCATACCATCATTCGAATGGAAACATTTTCAAATCTACATGGACTTATGCATACGTGTGGTTCAGCGTAAAAATGTCTGTATAATCCCAGATTGTTTAGCAATTAACGTACAATTTGCAAGGAAGTGAGCTAACTTTTAAAAGGTCTAACGAGTGATAACAGTTATAATTAAAAGAGCTAACATAAACATACAAGATACGGAATGTATTTCATTTATATTGTCAAAGCCGAGGGACCATTGAGTAAACGTACCATAAGTATATCGAAGCTGAGGGTCGTAAGACATGTATCAAAACACTTGTTATCAGCTGACCAGCCAAACCTCTTAATTTCCATTCTAAATATACTTGGGTCATCATGAGTATTTAACATCTAGATAGTAATACCGACAACCAGTACGGTATAAACACAAAAACACCAGTGACGTAAGGAAACTAAATCGTCGACAGAACGCTAGCGTGCAAAAACGGTTACAAAATACCAAAGTAAATATTTTTGTATACATTCTGTATACCGATAAGTCGTAGGCAGAAGTCGACACATGTCGAGATTCCTACTACCTTGGCTAATTACATATATGCGTATATACCGTTATCTGATTAAGCAGATCTTACCTCAATACAAA